AGTTTCCAATTTATTTTTTGATGTGAAAGTGTCTAATTTCATAGTATCAATCAAGTTTATAAAAATCTTCTCCACGAAAAAAAAAAAGATTAATTCGTCCCAAGCACCATGCGTCACAGCCAACTGCAATAGCCAACCTTTTTCGAATCCATCTGCACTATTACGTAATGAAATGTGACAGATATCCTGGCATCCAACGTCATAAGCACCTAGTGGTCATGCTAGGCCACATGAGGGCAGCTCCGACCATTGTTCTTGCGTGGACAACTCATCCAAAGGACACGCCTCTGCCATAAGCAGTTCTATCCGTGCTTGTCCATGCGTTTGATAGCTTTCGTAATGCGCACTGGGAACCAATTCTAGCATGGGCATTCCAGTTTTCTTGGCATATAGTTGGGTACAGTATCCTGTATCTTCTCGCTCGGACCTTGGCAAATGTGTCCGTCGACGTACGCGCTCATATTTACGTAGCTTTACGGATCGTGACGTAACTGCGTAGTGTGCGCACTTACACGCAGTATTACCGTGGCCTGGGGTTGGAAGCGGTTACGGTAATTTTTAAAGGGACGATAAATTTGTGGGTAACTGGACCCTGATTCTTCTACTAATATTGTATGAGTCATTTTTGGGTTCACCATTACACATGCTTTGGTGAACCCAAAGCTGGCTATGCTGTCATTTGACTCAACAATCTTGTTTTTTCTTTTAGTCGAAAGTTACGTATATATTTTTTTAAAGTTAAACTGATTTCACGTTACTGCCAATGTTATAGTCTTCATGACCAAACTTCTCCATGCTTGCAAGAGTTTACAATTATATTTGATCTCTTCTTTGAAAGGACCAATCAACGTTGTCGAGTACGGTAGAAAGTACGGTATAGGCAAGTGTTCAGAGTTGATTCACTCGGCCTTGAATGAACAATAGGAGGTGCTGATTGGATCTCCGCTTGATCAAGGCTTCTTAAACACTTTTACCTTGAGAAATCCAGGCACCCAGAGTTATCTGGACCATAATAGACACAAATTTCGACAGCATATTCATTACCTATCTTTGGCTAATTTACATTTTTCAAGAAAGGGGTCGGAATGTCAACAAACCAATGAGGTTTTCCAGTTGCTTTTCTCTCAGTTTTTGCCTTCCACTAACTGACGTCAGTGAATCACCATAAATTGCAAGATTAATGGTCCCCACGCTTTTCCCAATGATATATTGCCACCGGCGTAGTTTCACTTGTGCACACAGCGCGTCGGGCTTCCTGTTTCTCATTTTCTCTCCGCGCTCAACTTTCGTTTCTTCAACTTTCCCCTTCACATTTCACGAATGTAAGACCTTTGCAAATGTGGATTTCTGTACGATTTATCAAATGCAGCTATCGCTTCGGTGCGCAACCTTGAAAATGAAAGACTACGCCGAGTTTTTGCGCCCCAGCACATCGTTGTTGTTCGCTTCGTGGGGAAAAACTCGCGGAGATTCTCGTCACTGATTTGTTTCACTGCGCGTTTCTGCCGACAGTTACGCGTACTTCGAGTGTCGGTAAATCTTAGTCGAAAAACTACGACTTTTTCTGTCGAACCAAGTTTTGTACAATACTTTCAAGGTCAAATGCTCAGAAGGGCGGTTTTTGAAGTAGAACTTTGCTAGTAGGTTTAGGGTTCTTTCTCTTTTCTTCTGGACTCTGGGTGTGTTAGTGAAAAAAGTGTTAGTTGTCGTCCTATTAGTTCCGCAGTCTTTTCATAGTTCTTGACACCCTTCCTGCCCATGATTTTCTCCAAATTCATTCACCAACAAGCGTAGCACATCTGATCTTGAGGAACATATAGCTGTGTATCATTAGCTATTTTTTTACCTTTTATCTGCTTTATTCTCTTTTGTTTTATTATGAAACTAAGAGACTCGAGACGGCTTTGCACACATTGTCTGAACAAGTTTGAACTTGTTCTGTTCTGTTTTTTAGTAGCAAGTAATCGTAGATTGGATAAACCACAAGTGTAAACTTGTTAAACATCAAGCTTGTGACAATGTGTGCAAAGCGGTTTCGAGTCTTGAAAAGTTAGTCATTGTGTGCAATTGCACATTTTTCGGAATGCACTGGCAGAGTTCGGCAGTGATTTCCTTTTGATTTTCCTAATTTTCTTCGTTGTCTAAGTATGTTTGTAATCGAAATGTGGGTGACTATATGTCGTACAATTTTCACCTACAAAGCTTATGTGTTCTATTGCAAATGTAATTTGTGTAATTGCACACAAGGGCAAAAAGGCCAAGTGGATCACAGTATGAAGCTTGCCAAATTCTAATCTAAAGCTTTATGAATATTCAGTCTTCCTTAGCCTTTTCTGATATCATCTTGACTCTTCTCATCCTCCTTTTGGCCTACTATTCATACTATCTTCACAAAAATGTGAAACATGTTCCTAGAGTGAAACTCTGACTCACCCTCAATCGAACAAAGATGTTCGTTATAAGTCATTTCCTAACTCTTTGTTTAATCGAAGCGCTAGGAGTACTCATTTTGCACTCTAAACCAGTCCCGGATGTTTGGCCGATTTGACTTTCTACAGTACATTACGCAGCTCGAATGAGAAGTGAACTTTGTTTTATAAAAATGATTTTTTTAGAAGTCCTTTTTTTCCTTCCGAATTTTCTATAGAAGTTGGAGTTTAAGTGATAGAATCTAGAATCTTCTAAAAAAACCATTGTTGGCTGTCGATATCGCCTCGACATTCAATTCTACCAAAGTGCACTTTTCCTGCAATTCTGAAATAACGTAACTAGATTTTGTTCTCAGTTGTTATTTTTAGGTAAATTGCCAAGTCATCCGAAAAATTTTTAACTTTGAATTTGTAACACGAGCACTAGACATCTCTTTGAAATCGGTTTGTTTAATCTAGATTGAGCTTGAGTTCTAGTTTCAATGATTAACCGGTCTGTCGGCTTTCGGATCTATTCCTGGTTGGGCTCGATTGAGACCGTCAGTTTGCAACCGTTGCACGGTTTGTACCAGATCTCCATCAAATTTTCTCTACTTCATCTTGCCGTCATTCATGGTCCAGCGAATTAATAGAACCCTATTATGCTCTGTCCAAGGGAAAAACCTCTTACTTTCTCTATGCCGGGGGGAGGGGGGGGTGGGACGGGGAAATTAGATGCGGGTATGGGGTGACACCCGTCATTTGCCATTTCGTTCAGCGTTGATGGATCGTCACGAGCGTTTACGCTCCAATTCTAAACCCCGTCGCTGATGTTTTTACCCGCATTTCTGTCAACTTCCCCCCGACGACGACACGGATATCGTTCCTTTATTCTTTGTCGGCTGAGAGAATTGCTGCGTTTTCATTTTCCGCGAACAAACATTATGCATTGTTATGACATTGAATTAGTGTGAAAGTGTCATGAATAGCCCCGGCCGTTTCTAGGTCAGTGAATTGTTGGAAATTTATCCACATGCTCTTGGGGTAAATTTAAGTTTTTTCCTCGGGCTTGGAAGTTGCTTGGAAATTATTCCCGTGGTTCAAATTTGATTTTTCAGATAGTTTGTTGAAGAATTATTGGTTCTATTCATAAACTGGAAATTATGGAAATCATTTGTTTCCAATTCTATAGATTTGTAAATTAATAAAATTAATTTATAAATTAATTTGGATTAATTTGTAAATTCGAGTTCATAATTAGGTGTTTCACTTGTAATAATTATCATGTTAATATTGAAAGAAACTGAATGTTATTATAACTTGGTTGATCATCTTGAAGTGTATTTTCCATAATTTTTTTCATTACGCAGAAGAATTTATTTGTTTTTTTACTACTTTTATGCTGAGTTCTTGTGTGTTTTCTTCAAATTCGTATTGAACTTTCACTTGCGAGTTAATTTAAAATGCAAAGTGTGAAGTTTCTTCCTAGTTCAAAGTCGAAAGGAAATTAGATCATTTGGTCCAGACAAACTCTTACTGCCTCGACTTTGTAGGATTCACAGGGGAAATCTTCAACTTTTTCGTTTTGAATCTTTATTTTTAAATTTGGTTTTCGTAACAGCAGTTTTGTTATCCCTTTTTTGCATAAAAATATTCATTAAAGGTTTTACATCAATGTCGTTAGAAAGCTGCATTGACCCATTTCCGGTGCCAAAAACTGTCGTGTAGGAATTGGGTTTACGAACTTGCAAAAAATCCAAGACGTTCTGGAACATCAACGAATTGCATAATTTTATGTCTTCGTTTAATTGCTCAAACTCATTTCAACGTAAGAAATGTTTCAATGGGTTTTACAATGCCGGCAATTATTTCGCTACATTCGAATGACGATTGTTTCTTTTCCAGTCGTTAATCAAATACCTTCGCCCAGTACCGTACTCTTGCGGGAACCAGTCGCTTTTGAGTACTGTACCGAGCGGCAGTTTAAAGTTGATTTTTTGGCTAAGAATGCATCATATGAGCTGCCACTTTGACAACTCCTTACTTATCTCATCCAAATCCTATAGAGGGCCCAGGTACACGAATTTGCCTCAAAAGTGCATTTAGTAGGGGAGAGGCGTAGAGTAGGAAAGCTCACATACCGTCCAATTCTTCCCTGGTCTCACTTAATTTCGCTCAATCGACCTCAAAAATTCGAATCGCATTTACAGAGCGATTTGTCATAAACATCTGTCGACTTAGCGATGTCGATGAACTCACAAAATCCCGCTTACATAGTAATAAATGGGTCAAACGGCGCGTCTGCACAGCGGTTCCAGACGCTGGACCAGGACGGAAGCCAGGCGATCGTCGCGATCTCCGGCGTCAGAGCTGCTGCACCAGCGACAGCAGCAGGCGGGTAGCGAACCCCCCCCCCCCCCCCCGTGGCTACACTGATCGGTTCCCAGCCCGTTTATCTCTCTGTGTAATAATAGAATAGACGCGGTGTTTACTCTCTGTGTCATTGGCGATTCTTGTCGTCCTATGCCAGCTCCTTGGCACAGCGCAGTAATTTTGATGTATTTTTATTCGAAAAGTAAATTTGTGTTTCAGAAGAAGACGCGCTCGAATGTTGTCATTGGCTGAGACAAGCCGGATTTCCACAGTACGCTAAACAATATCAAGGTGAGGGTCTTTCACATATTGTGATTTGTTCCATTTTTGTCCAGAGCTGTGGAAACACCAATTTTTCGGGTTCTGGTCACTTCTTAGAAGTTTATCCTCCTCCTCATATTCATCTTTCTTCTCTTCAAACTTAAATACCTAAAAATGAAAAGAAAAGAGTTTGTGCTACGCAAACTTCTTCTGGTATACTATTAGGTCGTAACATAAGTTTTGTTACAGTCAAAGGAAAAAACGTTCATAACCTTTTCAAAAATTTTTTGTCAGCTTCAATTTACGCCGAGGGTTGCAGCTTTCTAATATATACATGTCACATATAAGAACTACAATTTTTTAATTTTTCAAAAAGTTTTCGTTTTTCTTGGCAAATTTTCAATTTGCGTTATTGAAGAACGCGGACTTTCAATGTTCTATTAGTACTGATGTCCCAAGAAATCCACAAAAATTGCAAGAGCGTAAAAAAAGGAATGAGAGAATTTTTAGAAAAACAGAAGGTAAAGTGCCGTCACAAAATTGCTATATCCACTGTAACCCATTCCATACCAGTGAAAGTGAAAATGATGCCAATAAATCTTTGCCCATTGCTCATATATGTCTATCAGAATACTAAATTTTTTTGAAGTTTTTTAGTAGAAAATGAAAAAGTTTCAAAAAACTTATGTTACGACCTAATACATGGTAAAAGTATTTCCATTCATCAAATAGTTTTTCTCTGCTGATGAGCGAACTTCGGCCATTTGGCCATTTCCAGCTTTTCTGGAAAAAGCTCTCCCGTTCCTTCACCCGAACCAACAAAAACTAGCATTTCCATTCTGTTTTTGACCCCAGCTTGATGATGTCCATGTCGTGCATTTCGCTGTGTTTGTCGTTTGATTGCGTCCTTGTCCCAAGCATATCGCCAAAGAAAACTTCATTAGCCGTCGTTGTTGGATCGTATTCGAGTCGTAACTCAGTACGCTCAGCACTCACGCGTACGTTAGCTAACAATTGTGGCTTCGCACTGACCTTGAAAGCTCTTTTACCAGTAGAAAAACAAAACAAATACAGTTCTCATCGTTTCTTTGAACCCTTTGACGAGCCGCCTCTGCTTGCTAGGGCTAAATAGAACACCCAGCTTGTCCAGCGCATTAAGAGATCTCCTATGGTTCTTTTTTAGGCCCCATGGGCCTAATTCAGCTAGCCATTCGTAGATAATGTAATCGTCATCGAAACGTATGCGCATCTATCAGTTTGACGCCTGATTGTCGCCTGGCATCATCTCACCCATTATAAACTGGCTCAATTCGGCTGTGCCTCTCAGCTTGATGTCGTCGCCTTTACCGCTGAATGCTTCACAACACAGAACCTTCAAGATCGCTTCCTTCGTTACAGTATTTTGGGATAAATTTTGTTAATTCTATAAATGTCCCTTGAAACTTCCCCTTCACTCTGAAGCCGAGCAGCTTGATGCATTTTTTGGAGGGCATATTTGCCAGAAACCGCATTTATGTAGTAATATTATCTGACCCAACTTTTGAAAGCGCCATTTTTTTTACAAGTTTTCGATACACCGTTATGTTTCTAAGGTGCTGCCAGGCGCAGAACGTTGCGGCCGACATGACATGAATTTTTTTACCATGGTGACCCACCAGATCAAACATGGTCTTTTCCTCGGCTAAGACCGCTTTGAACAGTTCCATAGAATTAGAAGTCTAGTTGATCATTATGAAAGTCAAGCTTGTCTTTTTATTATGTCTTGAAGTCCTTCGCATGGACCACTTTTTCCCCTCTCATGAATTTTCGAAAAAGGATTTTTGTTTGAAAAAAATACGTTGTAAGATTCTAAGTCTTGTGATAGAACTGCACAATTTTTACTATACATAATGTCGAGTCAATCACTTTCCATCACCCTTCACTTCTAAAAGTGTTACGATCACTTATAGCACGTGTTTCCTTGGCGAGCACAGTATGCTGCTTGGCAAATAAAATTTTTACCGCCGTAAATATCTGCAGCTCATTTTTTTCTATATACCTATGCCATTAGAATTAAAAAAAAAGAAGAACTTACAGCTAGTCATATCGGCAATGCGAACCATGCGCCTATTGGAGGCATTACCGCAGCGGGTTACAGTAGCTTTTCTTGCAAATTCACGCGACTCAAAGGCGTGAAACGCGCTGCAGCAGCGAATGCGACACGTGGATAGAAACATCGCTGATGGCCCACCATTCTTGTGATATAAAGTCTTCTGCAGAATGTAAACTTCCTCTTAAGAATGTAGTCATGTGAAGAGGTTCTCTATTCTGGAAAAGTCATAAATGGAACATCATAAAAAAATTCTGGAGCCGATTAGAACTTTTCACATCTTGCATACTGACGGATCATCTCTTTGGCGTAAAAAAGCTGGAAATTGGGATGTAAAACAATTTCTTGCACACTTTTGAGATTGATTGCCGATTCAGCCCAATGATACGTACCAAATTACGATTACGTAACATGCAGCTAGCATTCGAATTTGCCTAATCAACCAGAATTTGCGTTAATCAAGGAAGGGTGGGGCACGGGGAAGGTATCAGAAACTTGTTTACGCAGCGCATGCGTATGTTGCTTAGATTGTTTGCTAATTCCTTTGCCAGGGAACTTCATTCGATCTGCGCTGCGTGTTCGTCCAGCAATCTGATACAATTGTTCTCCTCGCCCTATACAAGTTGCGATTATCCGCTTGTCGTAAATCATCTGCGTTAATCAACGACATTATCCGAGCGAAGATACTGTGCGGCTAAATCATCAGCCGGAACTCGTTTTTCCAGCTTCTAACGTCCTTCACACCCTATTGCGACATTGGCTTCTGTATGTAGATTATTGCTGTCAAACCGGGGTTTGTTACAATTTTTAGCTCGTTTTTGCCATATATTTTCACGCTTTAATTGAGCGGATACGGGTTTCACTTTTTGTTTTTGCAGGAAACCTGTTGAAACTTAGCTATTCCAAAAAGCTTGTCTTTTCACAGAAGCAGGATTCTCTGAGATGCAACCATAAATGTAATAATTCAAAACAGTTTTTGTACGTAACCAGTGTTACACAAGCAGTCTCTTCTATTTTGAATTTCAAAAAATAATTTTTTAATTATTGTATTGGATGATTTTGGATTCTTATTTAGTAAGAATTTTTTTACCTGGAAATCTTATTCGTTGTTTTACAGTACTAATAGTATTTGAACTATTTTAACCCAGTCATTTTGTTGTTTTTTCTTTTATTTTCATAATTGGAATTTTTTAGCTTACTGCTCTGCCCTGGGTTATTTTTTTTCTGGAATGTAGAACCACAGCTTGTCTAAAAAATCACACAGTCACCTTAATGATCCCATCAGAATACACATGTCATTGCCATTTCTTCCTTTTTTCTCTGAGTTAATCCACTGCCGCACAAAAATGGGCGGGGCATCAAGTTCACATTTATAATCCGAACTACCATAATTTTATTTCAGAAGGACGTTTTCCAATCGATATTCGCAGTGTGCAATCGGATCACGAATTTTTGGGACCGGACTCATTACGAGCACTCTATCGTCGTCTAAATACGTTAAATCGATGTGCGATCATGCGAATTGATCAGGTCGTCTTACGTAGGAGGGTAAGTACATGATTAATATTGATTTTAAAGGTCGCCTCTTGAAATTTCTGTTATTGATTTTTTTGGTTGTTGAACTCTTTGGGTATTGAAGTTATATTGATTTCAGAACGACGGCTACGGTTACGGAATGTACGACACATATGACGACGATGACAGTGTAAGCCATTTTTTGTTCTGATTCTTAGCTGGCAATATTCCAAATCGCGCATACGGTGACCGAAAAATCAATACACCCAATGTAATCGATATAAAAGTTATTTGCACTTAGTATGTACATATGGATGGGCTTAAGGATGCTGTGATTAGAACAAAGCCTAGACCAGTTCTCCTTTCAAGAAGCGATCCAAGAAACGAGACTTTCATTGCCCCCTATTTTGAAGTGAAACGGATTTTCCAGTGCTTTGCTGTGTTTAATCGCTAATTTGAACTTGCGCCCTGTCTCCTGGCTCGTCTGACTGGATACACAGACATTTTCTTGAAGTTTCAACAATTGGATTGATAGCTCTTCTAGGCGTAGAACGGTTGTTTCTTCTTTTGTTCTCAGCAAAACGGCAAAAGAATAAGCTTTTCTCTTTTTCTAAAGCACAGGGCGCAAGACGTTGGCTTATTATTTAGTCGTGTGCCACACGCTTCATTTCTGCCTTTTGTGGCTCTAAAGGACGCTTTTTTTTTGGGACCCCTCTGAACAAGTCATTAGCGTACGAACGAGCACACATTAGGAGGTCCTCCAGTCAGTTCTTTGCTCTAATTATGCGCACTCCTTCAGCTTCCACCAAAATCCACTTTTTACCTATGAACAAAAGTCGGATGACGGAGACCGTAGATGCACAGATTATCTGCGACATTACGGCTAGAAATAGTAATCTTGATGGAGAATGTTCTGGAAATTTTCGGCGAAGAAGAAGTGCATGTAGCGCATTTGTATGCGAAGTCTGTGCGGCGATCTGCAGCATTTTCGATGACTAGTCTTGGCGCGAGCCACGCCCATTTCGCTTATTCAGTGTGTGTAAGCCAACTGTATTTTCGAGTCATTTGTAACGCAATATGTGAACTTGCACACTACGCGCGGCAACATGCCATCTCAACTAGTAATCGTCAGTAAAACCTCTTATAGCCTGACAAACTCTAGAGTTGTGTTTCATTGCGTGATACATATCCAGTAAATCAAAAGAGACAAGGAAACAACGTGAATTCACTGAAAATGGGCAAATTCTAATTTTCAAGTCGTCAGGTAGCGCGCATGGTGTGCAAAAGCATACCAAGCTGCAAATGACTCAACAATATGCTTTTTAGCTTTTAGTTACTATAATAGACGTACTGTATCGCTGGTTAATGCTAGCCTAAATGCATAGTCAGCCAATCATGCGTTAAAAATTGTTCTACGCCGGTTTTTATCCCTTTTTGTAACGGCATACTGTATAGTCAGCATAGAATGGTATCCCAGTCTTCACGCCATTTCGCGCCTTCGCCTTTACCAGCGTAAGCCAGCTTCTTCCAGAAGAGTCTATAGTATAAAAGCTAATAATTGCATAGTACTTTTGGCGATTTGTTTGCGCTGAATCATACGACGAACAGAAGAGCCGCGATGCGTACGTTGCGCTATGACGCATCGCGAACGCCTTGTCTAGCAAAATTCGCCGAATTACGCATTGCATTTACGAGCTGTAGCCGTATCGCCGCGATTCCACACATGGCGATACGAAAGCTTGCTGCTTTGTCGCTCTGATTTAGCCTTGGATTAGCTGATCTCTGCCTGATTCACCATCATTTGATTAGGTGAATCACACATTTAGGGCGCAAAACCTAAGGTTTCATGCTAGGATCAGGTTGTCTAATCAATTTTGCACAAAAAATGTCTGATAAATCTCGAAATTTCAACGGCACAACCTTAATAACCTGACGTTAGAGCACATTCAAAGCTGCAGCTTCCCCTCCCTGATCTGAAAATTCTAGAAAATCTTCTGTTGCGTATTTTGTCACATATGACATATGATGCACTTTATCTTACAAAAAAAGGCACTTTTCAAGATTCGTTGTTAAGCAGTATTTTTCATCAACTCATGTCGCCGCGATTTGGCAGTGATAGCTCTGCTTTTGGAACCACCAGAAAGCACATGGTTTTCTAACTCCATGTTCGCTGCTCTGAATATCTCCTTGAAACGAACAAAATAAAGCCTTTCTAACAATAAGAAAAACTTCATTTTCTCTCTGCTTTGCTACCCTTTAAAGCGGATGATCATGTCATTATGGGTAGAGCTTCGAGTTTTGCCCACCCAGAAAAATCTCTTCCTGAGGCTGAGGACTATTTGGTCTCTTATATCGCTCAAAAAATTTCTTTTTCGAATTTTTTTCTGGTACACCTTTAGTTTATTCATAAAATTAGGTGAGATATACATATAAAGAATCGCAGTGCCTAATCAAAAAGGTGAAATCGCGGGAAATCGCACGGCTTCCGCAGCGAAAGCGCCGGCAAATTTAGCACTTTTACGATTACCAGTTCACTAGTAACAAAATTAAGAAATTTTCTAACTTGGGCATGACCTGGGTCAACTTAACTGCTAGGTGATTTCAACCAACTTTTTTGCTTGCTTTTTTGCTTTTCAATTCAGTATTCGTGGATTTACAGAATGCGGTCGAGCGAGGCGGAAAGAAAGAAACTCCTGTTTGTTAATGTTGCTTTGGGACTGGTTCTTTTTTTTGAATTCTTTTTGGTAGGGGGAAATTACTTTCGTGAAAGTGATTCTCGCAATGATTGATAGTCACTAGCTGCCTGCAATTACTTTAAATGATTGCAAAAGTACAAATCAAAATCAGTGTCAGAGTCTAAAAATCGGAAATTTTTTATTGATTAAATATGTACCGCATAGAGCAACAAAATTTTTAGGAAATTTCAAACTAATCGTAAACGTGTTACATAAATCAGCTAAGATTTCAAACGCCCATTCTGATAACAGAAATACCAATCGAGTGATTTTTTTAAAGTCCCCCCCCCCCCTCGTAATTCGCATCAGCACAGTTTTTACACATCGTGTTACACTTTTGCAAAGGTTATGTCTCCTATGTGTCTCATGCTCAGCGAATAGCGATTAGTCATCGTGTCTCATCGCTATTCACTATGAAGCTCACATCGTCAATCACCATCGTAAATCCATTTTTTGCTTCGATGTGCTGCTTTTTGTTAATATTGAGAGGGTAGCTCTAGAAGAATGTAACCTTTATTAGTAGTTAGTACTTCGGAAAAAGTGCCCCTGATCCTCCTTGAGTGCTCGTTTTTGAGATGCTTCCTGGGTTAAATATCCATTCGAGCAGTAAGCACACAGAATTTCTACCGTAGCCCTACAAATGGCAAGCCTTGCCGTTTATTACGGTACCTCAGTGGACCTCATTCCAGCTTTGAAGAATGTTGATTTAGCCAATGATTGAATTTTTCCGTATGGGAAAACCTTTCCATTGTTATAATTTTGTTGGACATTTTCCAAGTTTTATTGACGGTTATGATCGCGCGCGTAGAATACAGGGATTTTCGTCAAGTTTTTTGGAATCAAATGCTCTGCGTCAACTTTTTACTATTATGATTGTATTAATTGAGAGGATCAGTAGGATCTAGACTCCATTATATTTTTTCACCTTGGAACGACATGATCCTTGCATTGATTTCGTTCCGTCATAACTGAACAGAGTTCCTAGCAACTAAGAACTTGTAAAAACCTTACACGTTGTTCCTGTACATACCTTAAAAAACTAGAAGAAAAGCCCGGCATCTTCTCATTCAATGCTGTAACGGTAGCAGCGGTCACATCGCACATATGTTTTACGAACAAACATTATGACCGTACTGAAGGTTTATCTGTGCAATGTTCCGTCACGCCTTCGGCTATGAACGGTCATCGGAGAGACTGTGAAGCAACCAATTTTATTTTTATGGTAGCGGCGCCTTGGCGTTCCTTTTTTGAGGGATTGAACTTAACTACGGTTTTCAAATTTCATCTGGGCACTTTTTTTTGTTACATTCGTAACTATTCATTTTTTACTTTTAGTAGGAGTTGCTGAAGCTATAGGTAAGCAAATAAAGTCACAGTGGACCTCATTCAATTACTAGATTTTTCGCAACACTTAAAGTGTGCCAAGAAAAAAATAAAAGATGCTGATACAAGCAAACGTACATGATAAGAATAATGGGCGTAGCTTGTATGGAGATTATATGAGAAGTAAAGCGGCCTCTCCTAAGCTTGATATGGTGGAATCTCTCGTCGAAATTCTGTTGATTTTATGTTCAAAAAGGCTATATGGGTTGAGAAAATGTTAACAATGCACCTTAAAATTTCACAAGAAAAAAATTCTTCAAAAATGCCACTAAACGGAAGAAAGGCTGCGTGGTATTATTGAGTGCAGGTGAAAGTGCTTTATTGCGTTTTTTTTCAAATATGAATATGATTGAGCATTCTTTTTTACTGTAGTTCAAACAGTATCTTCACATAAAAGCGCTGTAGAAATAACTTATTTTGTCTAAAATGGTAATTTCAGTTTTCAATGTTTCTTGTGCAAAAATCATTAGCATTCCATGTACATGGTTCTATTGCATACCAACTATTGAAAGTCGTGTGATTCTGCACTGTGTAAGACAAAACAATTACAAGAATTCTCTCACAGACTACAAAACAAGTTGCTTGGCTGTGCATACCTGCAATGGAATGCTAGAATTGCAAGACTGGACTTTTTTCTACGCAGTAACCAAAAACGGACCTATCAGTACAATTCATAAAGTTGGGTGCATGTGAATTTGCAGAATGACGGGCGCCAGACGCAAATCAGCCCGGGGCGATGCGCTTAATACGTTAGTTATGATGTTGATGACGATGACGTCGCTCATCACGCGTCTCGTTAAGTGTCATCCAATTTCCCCCTTACGGATTCATCACACCCCCTCACTTGCACTTCCATCGTACTCTCGTGCATCTGTACAATTCTGCAGGAGTAGCATTTCCAATCTATTGTTTCTGTAAAGGATTTACACAGGGGTCTGGTTTGCGCACATTTCCGCATCTCCAAAACAAATCTATAAGCATACGCTGCTTTATGGGCCATAAGAAACTCTCAAAAATTCCAATAGCTGCACTAGTGTATTTGCTTGAATTACTACATGTGTCTTACAAGTAT